CAGTGATGACCTTCTTTTGTTATTTCCTCTTTTCCCCGTTGTTCCCTCCTTCCGTCCCTCCCTCATTTCCTGTCATTTTTTTAACCTAAGTTCATCTTAGGTTAAAAGAAGAAAAATTCTCCTCCTAGTGGTAGAGGACAGATTAACCAGTTTTGCATTAGTTCCTATGGGAACTAATACTTTGACTTACAAACCATGCCTTGACATAACAACAAAAAACAGCCGGAATGGATTAATTGGGTTTCAGTGCATTCCTATGGGAAATGCTGATTTGACTTACAAACATTTAGACTTACAAACGTCTTCTGGGACAGATTAAGTTAGTAAATTATTAAATTTAATTAATTAAAGTGCTGAGCTCTCACCTGATCACCTCACACTATTTATCCCTCTGAACCCCACCTCCCACACAGGGACTCTGAAGCAACTTCTATGAAAAACAGCCCACACTCTCATTGTGAGAAAATTGTCTCTCACCTAAGAACTGTGTCACCAGTTGCTTCGCCATACATGAAGGAGGTGGTGTTGCCTGTGACCTTTATACTTTCAATAACCCAAACAAGTGAAGATCACAGGATGGGAGGAATAGCTTGTCCTTACCAGCAAAATCAGACTATGATGTTTCACAGCAGCCAGGCTGGTCCCAATTAGATGGGGAAGCAAAAATTTCCATAGTAGTAGAGGCCAGATAGGAAGAAAGCCTCTTTCTCTGCCCTCTGGTAGTCCCAGGTGCCAGCATGCACTTACCCTAGACACAGTGACAGTCAGTCCCAATGGCAGTCCTTGTGCCTTGCTTAACCTTGTTAAATACAGTATTTTATTCCATCTAATTACCCAGTGATAACTCTCTCCTGTGTGTGGGTGAAGAACAATTTAAAGGGCTCTTGGTGAGACGGCAGTAAACACAGCTCCTGGCTGAAGCTTTCGGAAGAGCTTCTGTAGAATGAAAAAGGTAAGGCATGAAGAAAGGCATAAGGCGGCGGTAGCAAAGGAGATGGCCAGGGCATTGTGAGTGTTCCCTTGGAACTGGGGCTGAATATTTTCCTCCTATTGCTCCTTTTCTTTCATTTGAGATGATGCATGACATTATTAGAATAATTGTGCCTCTTTCTAATACTTCCTACAGTGGTTGCAGATCAGAGTATTTTGGGTGGAAATGAGGTGGTAGAACCGCCATTCACAAATATAAAGTTTCTTTAAAAACCCCAGTGTGAATTCTCAGAGGTGCTACATAGATAGCTTAATAATAATAGTGAGCCATCAAGTTTCTTCTTGTATTGAATCATCAAGAAAGAAATTTAACTAAGATCAACATCATGAGCAGCAATTACTGCTATATGACCTGTTTTTATATCTGTTCATTGATAAAGCAAATGATCTTTTTCATCTAGCACCTTTTAAACATTGTTCTCTAGTAAGCTATCAGTCTGATAACTGAATGCCTCAAAATCTGATCTTTTAATTGGCTCCTGTGATGTCAACCAGAAACTCCTCTGTCTCAGAGGAGATATTAATGCCCATAGTCTCCAAATTATTCATTTTTTAACCAGATATTTTGCTATATCCCTCTAAATGGTTCAGTAAATTCCATGAAAAAAGTTCAGGATTCTTATGTGTGAAAACAATACTGTCAGCAAGAAGCAATTAAGACAGAAGAAGTCTCTGTAAAGAAGGAAAAATATGTAATACCTCTCAGGCTGTCCTTGCAGAAGGGTTCTGGTTCCTTGAGCAGTAATCAGAATAGCAGCTCAGATCGATCGATCAATCCATCTATCTATCTACCCGGTTTCTCCAAAAACAAGACCTAACCTGAAAATAAGCCCTATTACGATTTTTCAGGATGCTTGTAATATAAGCCCTACCCCAAAAATAAGCCCCAGTTAAGTGAAACCCCTCCCTCCACTATTGTGCAGCAACCAAAAGAAGATGATATGACTGTATTTGAATGAATGTTGTTGGCCATGAATAAAATTAAACATCCGCTGAAAATAAGCCCTATTACGATTTTTCAGGATGCTTGTAATATAAGCCCTACCCCAAAAATAAGCCCCAGTTAAGTGAAACCCCTCCCTCCACTATTGTGCAGCAACCAAAAGAAGATGATATGACTGTATTTGAATGAATGTTGTTGACCATGA